TAAAGTCATTCGTGCTTTCAGTGCCATCCTTTTAATATCATTGCAGTACAAAGGAACAATGATACAACCTTTCTCATCTCTTCTTACACGAGGCACCATGACAATTAATCATTTTTCAGATTTTTTTTCCCTCCCTCTATGTAGATTGTTGTAAATAAGAAAAAATCGATAACAAAAGTGTCTGTCCCTTTTCTTCTACAGTATTACATATAACTGTTCATTGACAACAAACATTTTCCGTTTCCAATAGAACACTGAGTTTTTTTTGTGAAAAAATCCTATTTGTACACAATCATTGATTGATTTATTTCAAGTGTTGGTGATTAGAAGGTTATCTGTTTCGAAGTGTATGATGATTAGAGTGACGCTTATGATTGTTACTTTAACTGTTAGACATATTAACGTAATGTGTTGGTCAAATGTGCTGTTTACGGTTAACCTGCTAACGTCGTAAACATTCTTTCATACAGAACAGTCCTATAATTACAAAACCTTTAGCCATTATACATGTGCTTTGGTTGTAATGCAAATCAGTTTCGCTACATGATGAGTTTAACATAATGGTAGAGGAGTATTTAATTAAATTTGCAAACACTTTGAGGAGGTTGCACAAAAATTAACACAAATGGATGGCAAAGAATTTGCACAAATGGATGGGAAAAATGCAACTTTATCGTATAGTAGGGTAAGGGCTGGAAATCTTATACTGGATGTTAACGAAGCTCTACAAGAAGCTCAGGAAATAATGACCGATGGAAAACCACGTGAACGTCACCCAGAAAATTTGTTGGAAGAATCGACAACTGTTGAAGTATTAATTTTTCCTCGTTGAATTGCAATTTGCTCATTATAAATATTTTGTGTTCCTTTGTCGATTTATTATTGGCATACATATATTATAAATTGGTACTTTATTTTTTTCCCACTATTTTGAGATATGCGAAGCTGTTTGGAACGTTGGCAAATAACTTTAAAAATAGTTTATACCATGTAAAGATTTCGATTTGCCAGTTCCTGTTTAACTATGAAATTATCTTTTAAAGCCTTGAAATTGTCATTTTTCAAGACTTGAGACTTTCAAATTTTCAAGGTAGTGAAAACGGGAAGACACGGTGATCCTATTGAAATTGTTGTTACTCGAAGTACGGTTACCTCTCAACCCAATACAGATGACGAAAGTGATGGTGAGTTATCTCTAGATTTCATGTCTAACAGTAGCTATAAATTTTATGTTCTGATTACAGTGTCTTCACTCAAAAAGATGTACTTATTTGATTTACATTTCTTTAAGGAGCTTTGGTAGGAAGTGATTCAGAATCACTTTTACCGTCAAGAACTAAGTCGAGTTCTCTTTCTCGCAGTTACACATATAATGGAGAAGGGAGTTCCGATGAAGTCTCTCGTTGCACAAATGTTCATTATCGTCGAAAACGTGGCGACAATTGGCGCTTAGATGATGGTGTGAAAGATGAAAGTGATAGTATGAAAGGCGATGATGATGGACATTTTGAGGTAATAATACTCTAGAACATAAGCGACACTAAGAGAAATAAGTTGAATGTATCAGGAAGTTCGTCAAATCGGCTACTGTCATTTCCTGATTATTATCTTCGTATATTGACTCTCATGAGAAATTTGTCTCAGCCCATATGAAGCAAAAATTGGCCTTCATATTTATAGGTAGAGGTGAAAGCGGAGTATGGACAGGATGACGATGGAGAACCATTCGTGAAAAAGGTATATCGAGTGAAATCTTGAGCACCAATTTTCACATTTTTCGTTACAAACAAATTTTTTTTCTTTTTACTCTTGTTGACCACACTGAAATCTATTGTTTCGACATTAATAAAAGAATGCTTATATAATGCATTTTATTGTCTATTGAGTGTGGTCTTCTCTTCTTTATAATTTTCGTTAGTATTGGAAGTCCATGTTTATTGTTTTTGATTTTCCTTGTACACTTCCACCTACAGCAGATTTCTCAACTAACTCACGGCACTTTGTGGTCTGACGTTAGTAGTTCATTGTGGAACTGTAGGACTATTATTACCTTCAGTATGGTTTTACACTTTTTTAATATGAACAGTTGCGGGATTTAAAAATGGAATTCATTGGTTGAACTTTCAGTCTTGGGAGGCAACGTGGCGTGTACAAAAATTCGAATATTTACCGGAATGGCTTCAAGATAATGAATATTTGAGACACGGACATCGGCCACCTTTGCCAAGCTTTGCACAGTGTTTTCGTAGCATATTATCTATTCATACTGAAACTGGAAATATTTGGACTCATTTAATTGGTGCGTTTCTGAGCTGTTTTGAAGTGAAAATAACTAAATGAAAACAAAGGTAACTTTTTAGACAGAGTATTTCGTTTGTATATTGGATGAAGAAAGAACGCGAAGAATCGACAGAAAAAAAGGACTTAAAGACAAACACGATGTGTTCCTCCTTAAAAAAAATTGTTATTTCAATTAAAAAATTACTACAATGGAAAAATTGGTGATGTAGAATCGATTGAAACTTTGACAATATTTCTTACTTGACTGTATTTTCGCTCGGTGATATGTTTCATTAGCTATAAACTAACCCAAAACTTTTTATAGGTTGTCTAGCATTTGCATTACTGGCTGCGTGGTTTATGACACGGCCAGATACTGACATTCGTTTTCAAGAGAAAGTTGTGTTCTCTTTCTTTTTTGCTGGAGCAATTATTTGCCTTGGTATGTCATTCACCTTCCATACAGTTAGCTGTCATTCGGTTGCTGTGGTTCGGATTTTCTGCAAGTATGTTCTCAACTTATTGTTTAAGTTTAATAATTTCAGATCAATATAAGCAAAACTTCTTTGATAATATGACAGAATATTTTGTGATACCATATATCTAATTACAGACTAGATTATTTGGGTATATCTTTATTAATTATTGGCTCATTTGTTCCTTGGCTATATTACGGTTTTTACTGCCGACGTGAGCCGAAAATAACTTACATTGCAATGGTCTGCGTCTTGGGTTTGGGTGCAGTAATTGTTTCATTGTGGGATAAATTTAGCGAATCACGATATCGACCTCTCAGAGCTGGCGTTTTTCTGGCAATGGGATGTAGTGGTAATTTTTTACAGTTTAATTTATTTCGAATGTTTTCTACAGTTTCAAGAACAGTGAAACTCTGACTCTATGATATCACCTTTGGTGTTATTCTTATTTTTTATATTTTGATTTCATTATAAATCCTTATTCACAAGTGGTTGTGAGAAGGCATTCACTTCCCTTTTACATTTTGATTTTATTATAAATCCTTATTCACAAGTGGTTGTGAGAAGGCATTCACTTCCCTTTTACATTTCCATTACAATTTTTCAACTGTCGAATTACACGAATATTTTATTTTGCAGTTTTATAAATAGAAGATGTGCCTGTAAAATTCCTCATGTTTTTATTTTCGAATTTTGAACTGCTGAACCTTCCACATAGCTGACTTTAGGAGTAGTACCAACAGTTCATTTCATGATCACCGATGGTGTGCGTACATTGTTCGAAGATGCAGCGTTTCACTGGCTATTATTAATGGCCGCATTATATATTCTTGGCACATTGTTGTATGCTACGCGTACACCGGAACGGTTCTTTCCTGGAAAATGCGATATTCTGGCATGTTTTTCTAACATAAATCAGATTCAAATATTTTTGCTATTAATATTACTTATTGTTAGGACAATCTATTTACTTTTCTTTGAATTAAGTTAGAACAGAAGACCCTTTAGCTCTAATTTTCAGTTCCAGTCACATCAACTGTTTCACATATGTGTCGTTATTGCTGCATTTGTTCATTACTATGGGATTTCTGAAATGGCAATGCATCGAATAAGAGATTCTTGCCCGATAGACAGCGATGCTTTGCGAGCATTCCATCATATTGTAGAAGGTGTGAAAAAAGTGCATGATGCGTTGTAAAGAGACAAGGCGTGATTAGGAACTTAAACGAACCTCTTTACGTTCACGATACATGAAAAGTTTTATATTTTTAACTGCAGATATTTGTCAAACTTATTCAAATTATATTATAGGAATATCTGATAGAAATGTGGTACAAATGATTTTTGATTCTCATTGCTTTTGATGTGCCGGTAACTTTTTTGCACTTGACTTCTCTGTCTACTGTTTGCATTTTATTTCTATATTTTATAGAATTATTTACAGGTTTTTTAGAGTGAAACATATACCCTTATAGCAATTGAAATTTAAAGAAGAATTAGAATTATGTTTGTCACTTCACACACTGATATTTTTACTCGCCCATCGCTTGCCCATGAACGATTTATAGTATCTCTTTACATTCTATCTGAATTAAGTATTTATTTTGCTCGTTTATATTTCATCATGGGGTTTTATCGCATATTTACCTGTCTAGCAGGATAGTAATTTATTAATTAGATTTTTACTGTTCACATGCAGAAAGCCTACTAAATAATGGAAGCACGTGTTATTATTTGTAATATCGAAAGATTGTACCAATTTACATCACGTTCTTTCATCTTTGTTTCAGTAGAACTTCATTTATATGGATAAGCGGTTTTCCTTTTCTTACAAAATAGTAATTTTATAAGAATTGTGTTGAAATCGGTAATTTTATTCTAAAATGAATACAAAGTTACTAGAAAATATGACATAACTTTATGACATTTTCCTTGTAATTTAATGAAAAAATGGTTACACTACACTCATTCACGTACTGATTAATATTATTTGGTGCTTGCTTGCAACTGAATTCTGATAAATAAAACTTATAATTCGTTTTCGTACAACTTTATAGAAAACATATATGCATATATTTTTATCTGCACATACCATATATATGTCATTCTGCTTGAAATATGTATGTAACTTACAAAGGCAGGTGTTTTGTATATGATATAGGTTAGTTAATGTTCTGATTTATTTGGCGCTTTATGGTTTAACTGTGGTCTACATGAAGTGATACCTTATCGTTGCAGGATTTCATGGAGAGGAAAAAAGAGATCTCGTCAACGGGACAAATAACTCGTGTCGATGTTAAGTTTGCTTATTTAATAAATGAGAAATGTGGCTGTGTATTCATTCCACCGTGTTCTGCTCTCCCAAAAAATTGTCCTAGTCCCGATTTAACTCTTTTTTATAAGGCTGGTGACATCGTTCACTTTACAGCGGTATCGCAACAAGGCAAGAACGACTGCAAGTGGCTAGCTACGAAGGTCCTTTCATATTTTTCTTGCAGTTTTGTTAGAATTTCGTTTTTCAGCGCTCTATTGAGACCGCTAGATGCTTGTAGACGTATTATTAATGGTTTTTGATAATCGCCAAAATTACTGTAATGTTCAAACACGGGTAAACGTTGTTTTGATTCAGGTAACACCATCAGCAAACAATGACATATATCAGGCGCCGCGTTGTGAGCTCAAAACTCTCCACCAAGTATTATTCATTTAAATTGAAAATAGTAAGACATATAAGTAGCAATTTATGCAGCGAAGTTTAGTAATTCAGCTCATTTTGTTGCAAGTATGTCAGTAACATATCTAAAAATTGAAGTTCTAAGTCTAATTTAGTCTTTTATTATAATGTAATTGCATGATTTTAACCATTCATCATTAATTTTATAAGTGGTTGATGTAGCACCTCTATTAACTAAGCAAGTTTTATTTGTTTATATGAAAATTTGCAATAGTGTTTCAGGTTGTCACAATCACATTAGTAACTGAAACGTATGCATATGCTATCAGTGATGAATTAGGTATGATTTTCGTTCCCGGCGCGGCTTTTCAACAAATCGAGGTGACGAAATTGGACAGTTATTTGGTTGTTGGTGACAACATCGTAGTTCACATTCGTTCACAAGCTCCTAGACGTGGTTGCAACTGGATTGCTGAACATGCCACCAAAATTACCGCTTTAAATGCTGCTGCATCTTCTGTGATGTATGTTAGTGGTAATGAAAATTCCTGCAATTATATTAAACGAGGTAATTCGATTCATGAATTCTTATGTGCTTAACCTGTTTACCATTGAAATTCTCCCTACAGAAATAGATCCTGTGGAGTCTTTAAAAGGACTGACAAAATTGCTTGATTCTCTGATTTAATAATTTAAATGTAATCACAAAATCACAATGCGTTCTATTCCATGAATTACAGGAGCTTGTTCAACTTTACATTTTTGTCCTTTCTGGAATGATGAGGAAGAAAACATTTGGTGGTCATTTTGGTAGAAAGATAATTGGTTGCTCTGCTATTATAAAACTTTGTGACATCAGATATCACTTTTCATTCTATCCTTAATAAGCTTTTATCAGGTAAAGGAATAATTGTATGGGCAGATCATTTAACGGCTTATGTAATGAACAATTGCAATGAAAAAGTGATATGCCCAATTCTAACTTGGATGGGAGGCAACAATGACAACTTACTTGCCGAAAATTTGTGTGATGTGGTTGAAGTTGGACAAACGGCTAGTTTTTTCAAAATTCCAATTATTACAGTCACTGTTGTTGTTGTTGGGTATATATTTTGCATTCGTGAAATTTTATATGAAATTGCAGTATCCTGTAAGAATGACAGTCTTAACTTATTATATTACTTAAAGAATGCAGTAGGTCGTTTTTCTACTCATTATTTTGTAATAAGTTTTAAATATTTGTACTCAGCGTAGGAGTCAGAGAATTTAGATACAGGTTCATTAAAAACTGAAACTGTATTAATCAACGTCATAATCTAATATCCAAATCATTTAACGAAATATATGATTCGGTTGTTCATCATCATTGTAGGGAATTTTTCCAAGTAAGCGTTTGCAGGTGTTTTATGAAGCACTGTTTACTAATGTTGGACTGAGAGCAAAATGGTGGTCTACGAAATCTCCAAGGAAAAATGTTGCAGATTCTTATACCCAAACAGCGCTCACCGTGGAGCAAATGATTATTCGATCTATAGAACCTGAAATCCTTCAACACTTACAAAAGAAAATTCCGAATATAATTAAGCTTGCTAAAAATTTGTAGTTAACTAGGGTTTTTTAATGTCTGTTTTGCAATTAAGTACATGATTCTGCATATTTAAGATGTCTTTTTTGATAGCTCTAGTCAAAGCTGTAGTCAATCTTAAATCATATCCTCAAGTAGAACTGTGTGATATAAGCGGAAATGGCATTCTTTGATCCATTGATCTCATTTATTTATATTTCCTAGAGCAAAGTTTTTCATATTTTAATGGCAATCTCTGTTTCAGTCGTTCAAGCACTATAAAGTCACACTTCTGTCTCAGATTGAATCCTCAGGAATTATATGTTTGATCCAAGGATTTCGTTCATGTCTCATGTAATGAATTCGATAGGAGGTCTTTTTCAATCTTTAATTCCTAGTATTCATTGCATTATTAATATGGGAGTCATTTTTTGATGGCTATGCCCCATTATTAAAGAAAGTGAAATGAAGAGTAACATAACAGTGCATGAAAAAAAAAGTTTCATTGATACTGTCTGTAATGTTTACATATAAGTATTTCTATGTTTGAAACTGTTTTTATAGAATAGAATTTATCCAATTGTATTTGAAATATGGTTCTTGAAATTAATGGGTTTTTTTCTAACTTCTCTGCCGTCGCCGTCAATTTTTTTAATCTTCGCAAAAAGTGTGATTTTTGGTGTCCTTACTGTTTCTGTTTGGTGGTTCTATGCTTGTACAGCTTCTTGTACAGATGCCTGTAATATTTACTGCTAAGCATTTTTACAATTATAAATATGTATTTTTATTTGACTCATGAAACAATATGTAAATTGATAATATGTATCGAGTTGTGGTAATTTCTTTAAAGGAACTGAAATTCAATGAACTATTGGATTTGTTATGTTCCTCCTATTGGTTTTATAAGTTTTAAATGATTTTAAAGGTTCTAACATTTTTAATACTAGGAAACAGTTTTTGGGAATCAACGCAAGCATTTATTTTATCTTTTCTTGACATTGGTTGTCCGACGTCATTTGTTGGAAGAGGAGGATCGTACAATAATTGCTTCAAGTAAATTTTCAGTTTGTGAACTAAGTTTTTTTTATCTCGATGGAAATTTTTTTATGCTTATACATTTTTTGTTTAAAGAATTGCAGTTAGAGAAGGTAGGCTTTTATCAAAGTAAGAGATGAATATCAGGATTTCTGGATGAAAATCAGTATGAAGGTATATCGTGATGATTGTTTATCGGCTCTTTGTCGTTTGGATGGATGGACTTGTGTGTTCGCTCGAATTGTGTCGGTTAAACCTTTGGAAGTGGAAGATGACATCAGCCGGCTTTGCTTGTACAATATCGCTGAAGACGTCCTTTTTGCGGATATTCATTGTGGCGATTATTGTTACCTACTGCTCGATACCACTGTTCGACCAATGCGATGCACACGTATTACTGTTGTACCAGTTGAAATTGCGCCACTTGCTAAATACCAACTAAAACTTGCTCGTAATTTGGAAGAAGAGGAATTCAGTATAATGTTGTAATTAATTTGTCATCCCTTTTAGTTAACTTATATCACATAGTTTTGTGAATCTGCTGGGTAAAGTTCGTATATCATGTGCAAAAATGTAGGTAAATTGTGTTTGAATTTTTCACTCTTCAGATTATATTTTTAATCTCTTGTCTATCAGATGTTTTCCGCCTACAGATCTGTTACATATGTGGTGTTTGAGGAATGGTTTTTGAATGAAATAAAGAAGTCACTGGATACTTACTTCCATTCTGTAGAGGTGTACTATTTCAGTTTCTCTTTTTCTGAAACAGAAAAAAATTTACAAACTGCTGAGAGAATACTGAAAACGTAGCATTCAATGAATCACCAACCTTTATTTCTGAGAGGGATTCATGATTGAAGATTTTTGTTCCGAAGAAATCTTAATTTGTATTTCATGAACAAATGAGCAAGGGAATATGCATAGTGGTTGAGATTTGCAACATTTTCGACGCTGCTAATCAACTAGTCGTCCCTTCGTTGAAAACATTAAAAACCCACCGAAATGCTAAAAGGACACTATTTTACCATCTCGTTTAGGCTTACCATTTTTAAACTCGCAAGTGTGAAACTGCCTTTTGAGAAATCAGCAAAATTAACTATACTTCGAATGCAATTTTGTAATTCTAATCTCATGACACGTACCAAAATTCTATTACATTAGAACTATTTTGTAAAGTGCAACTTCACTTAGCCAAACAAATAGGAGGAGGTAGATTTCCAACCAAACGACCGTTATTTTATAAGTGGTACAAATTTTAAGGCAATATAACAGTAGTTTCTTTAGAATAGCCATGAGAAATATAGAATTCGAGGCAAAAGCTCGAAGTACACTGGGTAAGACGACGAAGAAAATATGCATTTAACAAGGGGACTGTTTGCTCATGTTGCTATTATCCGCAAGCAAATAAAAGCTAACTGAAGTCGAGTATATTTCTAGTATTTCTCAAAGTTATCTGCATAAAATCACTAATTTTTGCTAATATTTCTCTTAATACACTAGAAACCTGGAATTGGGCAAACTTTCCTTTGTATCACTGATAGCTGTGGGTTACTTTGTAGGAGAGGACGCTAAAGCATTGAATAGCTCAAGAATGCAAAATTATTGATTTCAATATATAATTTTCTCTTGCATTATGTAACGATATTTCGGATTTCAGGTCCGTACTCGATGCTGTCTTCTAGTCCTTTTTCATATTTTTCTAAAATAACGATTTCATTGCTAGAAAGAATTGGAAGGTTTTATTTTAATAATATGAATAGTAACAATTTTGAAAAACAACCGTAAAAATGGCTCTAAAACTAAACCATTAAAACAATGGTTGTTGCTACAATTGATGATGTTTTGGAAACAAAAATTGAGAAATCAATTGAAATATTTGAAATACACTATTTTATCCCTCTTTAATTTCATCGAAAGAATTTGGCGAACGTGCAGAAGAGAGGATATTCAAAATATATGAGTACCAATATTCATCAAGAATACATTTTCCCATTTTATACGAGTGGGAAGTGTGCGACTATGGAAACGATGAATACGGTTTATTTGTTGTGCCTTATTCAAAAGTTCCTCGCAAATCCAATCGTTGCATTCACGCATGAACATCGTTATTGGAATTTGATCTGACATCTTATCGCTTAGCTTCCAAATCAGGTCACTGCAACATTCATGAAAGTTATCACTTAAGTCTTCCAGGAATCAACCTTATTTAAACATCGCTACTCCTTACCAAGCTATTTCAGGAGTATTCGCATAACATTGAAGAATATGATTGTTGAGAGCGAGGACATAACCAACCGGTTGTTGTTTTTCAATGGCCAATATACCTAATACCTGTAATTTGCCTGATTCATGTTATTTACGACAGCACTGATTTTACTAATTTAGACAGCAGAAGCAATGATATAATAGCCTATAATGCTATTACGATATATAATTTAAAAAATGAAAGTTAAGCACAAATTCGCTCATTTTTATTTCTCCATTGAAATAGAATTGAAATGAAAAATTCACAAGTACATACTCCATTTATATGATACAAGAATTCCAGATAATCATGGCGATTCATGAAAGTAACGACGGAATCGTACTCAAAGAAATGAAGTTCATTTTTAGGATTCAGTTCCATACATGTCAATTTTGCATTTCTTGTCCGTTTAGTAACTGCTTGTAAGTTGGATCTATCGTGAAATAGTTTTAAAATAAAAAAAATTGTGATTTGTATTTTGAAAAATTATAATGGTCTGAAATATATCATCAAGCTTCCAATTTTTTCTTGAAAAAAAACTTACTTTTCAATGGTAATTTGGAAATAACGTGTTTGATCAGCAACCATAAATCCCATCAAATCTCTATAAAGCTGACGAGTTTTCTCAGTACTGAAACAGTCATAACCGGACAAAGCTAGGCAACATCTTAGCTTGTAAGTTAATTTTCCATGGAAGGAAAAATTTTTCATTAAATTTAAATGAAACTGTTTGTTCTTCGAGTTGCGTCACAACTCAAACACTTTTGGTTTCTTATGTGATTCTTGTTTATCATGGGTAGAATAAAATAACCAACGAACAAGTCACTGTCGTACAAATCGACAGTGATATTTTTGTATACGTCCATGTTGCGTGTTTTTAACGTAATATTGATTAGCTGTTCGTAAACATGAACAAGTAAATGTTGCCGCCGACGATCTTCAAATGCATTAGAATATATGGACAATCTCGAATAATCAATCTCTTTATTCCATACACCGCTGATCTATAAATTTTTCCATCTAGTAATGACGGAAGTCTGAAGAATGATTAAATGTATTCGGCACCATTGACAATCTACCTAGTAGCTCGATTAAAAGATTAGAAATCCAGCCATATCCGTAATATAGTTTTATCAACAATTCATCAGACATACATTATAATTTGTTTGATCGCTGTACCAAAAGCAGTAAAAGAGTGCAGATAGGGACAAAAACGTACTTTCATGTAACGCTGACGATATCTATCGATCTCAGGACAATATTCATCGTGTTCGCACTCCTCAATAGTCACTGATTTTGTTGCATATTTCAAATCATATTTACAGAACATAAGATAAGCCTGTAATTTCTCCATCTCTACAGATGCTATAAATATTTGGAACCTAACAGAGAGTATTTTAAGTAATGCTGTCAATGATCATCTCTTACAAAAAGCGAAAAATTCATCCTTTGTTTTAGACGATAAATTAACCATAAGTTCAGTTACAAATACCATCCGATTAGACACAGTTAAGCTGGTAAATAATCTCAGATAATTTATTTCTTCAAATTTTTCAATCTAGAAAACGTTCTCTGGTATAAGATTTCAGAGGATTTGGCAAAATTTCCACTCAATAAACATATTAGTACATTAAGCATACTTTGCACAGATGGTGTTTGAGAAATCTATCGATGAACTTTGTTGAATTAAAAATGATAATTTGAAAAGTTACCTGATTACTGGAGCATACGTGTATAGCACCAAGTGCTACAACAGTAGGCAAGTTTGTCTCCATATTGTCCAAAACAGCTACCGTAGCCACGTTTTTTGTGTCAGTGAATGTCAAGTTATTATTGTCTGGCAAAAAATGGTCGCAGAGTGGATTATGTGGAAATCCAGCATGTTGCAAAAACTGACAGAATGATCCAGCTTCGATCATTTTAAAAACTGAAATATTGATAATATAAAATCATTTTTGAACAAATAAATCACCATGTAAAACTACATAACGAACTGCCCAAAAATGTTCGAAAATGGCAAGTAATTGCACCTTTTCACTTATTTAATAAGTTGAACTAATTCAAAATGGATCTTACTTCGAATTGAAGAGTAATGGAAATGCATGTAGAGTAGAGGTATTATTTAAACATTTGCTATACCCTTAATCACTTACTTATTTTGTCTTACTAACAAACCACCGAACTAAATTGAATCATTGCTTCCGACATAAGATTAGTAATTTCTTTGATAAGAACTAATTACAATAGATGATTTGAAAGTTCAGTCTTCTCTTCCATACAAAAATTGAAAGCTTCAATTGAAAAACTGAAAGTTGGTAATTAACAACAATATCAATTTTAAAGCAGAAAGCAATACAAAAAAATTTTGTTCGACAATCTTCGAGAACAAAAGCACAGGTATAAGAAATATGTTCTTAAGTATCTATCATAAACATGAATGTAATCAATTTAGAGAAACAATGCAGCAATGATCTTCATCAAACACACTTTTTGCACTTCACAATACCTAGAAAGATCTCTTTGACGGGAAAAGTTAACTTGTGGATAAATTAGGAAATGGCACTTTTTTTCCAAATGGAAACGATTTTAGTGTAATAAGGAGGAAAGTTTTTCTGTAGAAGGAATTAAGTTAAAAAAAGAACTAACGGATAGAAATGTATGAGAGATAGACTCAAAAATGAGACCAAGAGATAAAAAAGATCAATAATGGTAAGTTAGAGAATGTATTTCGAAGAAGCCGCTTCTCAACGTTAGAGGACAACCTTTATTTCAATAAATTTATTTTAAATGTGGCTGTAAATGGATAGTTGCAAAGCATTTCATATGATTTCATTATTTGCTTCCAGAATGGACGTTGTATTCCAAGTACGCATAAAATAAACAGGAAAAATGTTAAGATATCAAAAGAAGATTTATTAGCGAAAGCTTCGTTATTTGCCACTTATCCGACGAAAGAATTTTTGTTTTATTAATGACTTCAAATTACAAGATTAATATATGAACAAATAAATTGCCGCCTCATATTTTAAACGTGTTAACTCATTCACTATAAATGAATACTTGTCCAGGTGTATTTATGGTCATAAATATGAACAGGAAAGTAATATGAGTAATATGAAAGTACAGTGATGGAAATTATTTGCAAGAGATATGGAAATTATTGCAAGAGTCATTTTTTAATGTTTAATGTTATACCAAGAAGTTGTCGATCTAACAATTCTAACAATCCATATCAAACAAAATGGTGAAGCAGGTAAGACAATATGAAGATGACCATAATAGCACCTTCAAATTGAATCAGTCTGTAGAAGGGAGGGCGTTGCTATTATCTGCAATGAGCGATAATTTATATGCGAATTGTGTATTCCATAAAAGTTCTCCTTCTCCTTTCCATCCTGCCTTCTCTTACTTCCTTTTTTTCAGAGGTAAAAGTACGATTTAATCTGGATTGAGGTCATTCAAAATTACAAAACAACTTGCTCGTATCATCTATACCATATATCCATCACATCATATCTGTGCTATCTCGTATCTCGCAAAGAAATCATATCCATCCGTTTTTTAGCACATTTCTCATTCTTAACAAAGCTTTTTCTACTGAGTTTAATTACGATCACCATACAACGATGGTAAATACTATATTTACTCGATTTTCACTTAAAAATAGCATACGTTGGATATTACGTAACAGTTGCCAAAACATTTCTCAGCATTCATAAGCAGATGACGTAAGAAAGAAATATTGTCAAGAGATAAATCAATAATGAGATACCAAATCAGTTTCCTGAAACTTCTGCAAGTGGATGGTGGGAGAGAACTATGCGAGGGAATTTTTGAATATCAAGATGGGAAGGTCAGGAAAACATAGTGAAGGGGTTGCAAATATGAAATAAATCCCAATTGGGTCGTAAGAAAGATGATAACATTAAAGAGTAGTTAGTTGTTCGACAAGTGAGGTAGCATTAAAAGATTAGAAGAAATTTGTTTATAATTGCAGAAATTATACTTAAATTTGATCAATCACAAACATAACGCACCTTCAAATTTGCAAAAATATTTAGGAAAAATTTTCTGAGATGAAATTTAAAAACATACATGCTTTTCTTCAATGATTTCATTGGTTATAGGTGTGTACCTTTTCACTCAAAAGTTAATGAGTCAGCTGATTGTCATCATGATAACATTATAGTAAAGTTTTCGATCTTATCGCATTTATATTGTGCTGAATAGATGTTATATGGAGATGTGTTCATGATAACAGTTATATTTCTCATAAGACTTTATTCGCTCACTATCATCAAATATTTTGACCTAGAATAATCTCCGCTAAGATTGCCCTTCCTTCTTTCTGCTCTATTTTTTTTAACACTAATTTTGTGAGGAAACACTTGGCAACATATATACAATTCAGTAATCTTATAAAGTTTAAGGACTTAAAAATCATAATAATGTAATCTTTAATTAAAATATTGTTCAGCTGAAGCAAAAAAATTTACCACACAAGGAATTATATTAACGACTCTTTTGTGTCCAAAATATACTAATTTATCTATAAGTGCTTTTAGTGATGAAGCAGCAGGCTCTAAAATATTAAAGTTAATTTTTATAATCTTTCAGTATTCAAGAAAAATTTTAAATTTCCATAATTCTGCGAAAATAATTGAACAAGTTAATCACTGATCATGTATCTGTTTGTGATTGTGTGAAGCCAAATCAGGTGATGCGATAGTAAGTAGCAGTTTACCCGAATCATTGGTTAGTTTAACTCCAAGCTTCTTGATCATTATTTAAATCGCTGACTTTTATTTGACTTTTAAGATTAAAAGGAGCTTTTTGTAACAGATATGTGAAATTAAATAGGGCAAGTCTTTTCATCTGATCCAAATGGGCAACGCAATATTCAATCCAACCAATTCAAATATACTTTACGTCAAAATCAGTTTAGAATTTTTCCACCTCTGATCGGAAATGATAAATATCATAAAAGCATTTTGTTAAACATAAATTCCGTGGCAGAATATTTTATAGATGTTGTAATTTTTAAGATTTGGTAAAAAATGTAACCTGGATTCCACAATTTAAACAATTTTGGAGCTTCCCAGTAATTATGATTATTGCCTTCAGCAGTTCCTTAGATTCCGGTTTAACCGTATTAATGACTATTACTTTGAACTTCAAACATGAATGAGGGCATTTTTTCATACGTGAAAAATAAATGACTTACTTATTCCTGCAAAATCTTAAGATGTAATTTTACTCTAATCCCTCATATTACATCTAAATTTGTTTGCTCTGAAATAAATACTTTGTCTGATCGCATACATTTAATTGCAATGAAAAGATTTGGTTCATTAGTTTCAGTGTACTATTTTGTTTTAAGTCACGGAAGAGTATCACAAATTGAGAGGTGATGCTGAGAGGATTGCTACTAAACACGCATTAAAACAAATTGTCAACTTTGCTGATCACTGTGAAATGGAAGAAGAGATGAAGTAATTTATTGACAGTAATTTATTTGTGTCTTAAAATTTTCTGTCGAAATTTGGTTGAAAAGTGTAATTAACAAATGAGTTATTAGTATTAATAGCTAATGAGGTTTGTAACAAATACAGTTGCTGCTCGTTAACTGTTTGAAAAAAGAATAGCAAACAGCATTAAGTAATTGTTTTTTAAGACTAATTTATAAAAATTATATCGTCCTGGGATATATCTCTTCAATTTTTTGTCTTCATTTTCATAGCCCTAGGAATTATGTTTTGCTAAATTGAGAAATTCTGATATTTTCCAAAGTGTATTCTTTAATTAATAAATAAGAAGGATAAAATTAGTTTCGAAATATATGTTACTAATATGCTTATTTTCTTCTCTCTGCGTTATCATTCAACTTGTATCTATAAATTTATAATTTTTAGTTTCTAATAGCATTATGTGAAACTTTTATCCTCTCTTACAGGTGACCGCTCCCGCTATGATTCGCTTATTGAAACTAACGGCTTCTGGTATAATTGCCTAGATTTATAGAATTTAAATAACTGTAAGTTACTCTTTTGCTTAATGGTGGCGTAAGTAAGTACTAATAGTTTATTTATCAAATTAGAATATATGGGATATACGAAGAGCAGAGTTTAATAATTTGCAAGGTAGAAAGCTTAATAATTTACAAATTGCATGTGTGTGGTTTTAAGATTCACTTTTGTGGAATATAACACAAATTGTTTAATTTAATTCTTGATTTAAAAAATTGATTAGGAAGTTTTTTTTTTCTTTTAAAACATCACATTCTAGTGCTTTAACTGGCGGTAGTAAGGTCATTAAACTATTTCTTTATGATCTACAACGCATTTATATTTGTTATTTTCATTTAAAATTCGACATCTACGCATGATTCAGCAAAAGGATCAGTTGATGAAGGAAGTACAGTCAATACTACTTTGACAGTATTTGTGTTACAAAAATACATGAAAGTGATGATGGTGTGATGTTTACGACAATACTCAGACAGTTGATCAGTAATACCTTTTTTTTTCTCTCTTGCAGTTAAACGACAATGAAAAAAGTTTTTCAAAAATCACATGCATATTATCTAATCGATTTCGATGGAGAAGGAATAGTATTGGGAATCAAAAATTGATTTCATTATTTGTTGCATCTCAACTGTTATAAAATGATCATACAATCATTTTAAAAGAAAGAAAATGATTGCTATGATTATTTTATTTAAAAGATAATAATTCTCAAATCATTGTGCCGGTAAATAAAATTAGAATAGTTTAGAGAATCTTATGAAATATTTGATAGAGAAAACCAATTTGGTTTAACTTTATGTTTCGGAAAATATTGTCTTCAAATGATTATATTGAAGTAATTGTATTTGCAGTACCATTTTAGTAATGTCATTTAGATTTTTAATCGTTTTCGA